TTACTTATAATAGTAAAATTTGAAGGGAGGTAATAAACAGACGTAGGCTTCTTAACTAGTCATAACAGTTGACGTAATAGTGACGGATGACGTTATAGCGCCACCATGACAGATAATTTTAAATGGGACCTTATGGTAAGTGATACCTCGTTTGAAAGTTATTGAAAATACCTATTCAGTCATAATAATTTTATTTGCGTTTAAGCTCACTTTGATAAATATATTAAATAAATACTAAAATTGTAGTTTCACATTTAATTAATAAATATTAAGACCTCCGCCTCTGGTTAGTTGTCAAAAAGTTGACGTTTTTAAATTCTTTAATTGTTTTTACGTCAACGTCAACTTTTTTGACAATTTACCAGAGGAGAACGTTAGAATATTTATTGATTAAATGCGAAACTACAATTATTTTAATATACCTATTCCATCATACTAACTTTGTTTGGATTTAAGATGCTTTTGACGAATAAATTAAATAAATACTAAAATTCTAGTTTGGCATTTTAATTATTAAAAATTCTAAAGTCAGGCTTTGGTTATTTGTCAAAAAAGTTGACGTTTATTAATTCTCTAGTTGTTTTTAGTTTGCAAAAGCGTTTATTCGCTCCGTGCGTGACTGACGCGACACCTACCGCCTTCATCTAAAAATTTGGGACCTCCCAATTTTCAGGTTAAACATATGACATATGTTTGACATTGTTAAATACATGCGAAATTGACAATTATTAATAAATTAGTTTTTTAACTATATTTTTTCAGTTTATGTACCAAATAAATGTAGTATTAAAAACTGGGTTTCTCAAAATTCATCATAATATATCTTTTCAACTCCAAACGGAAAAGAAAGGGAAAAATCTGGTACTGTCAAATCAAGTTTTTCACGCAAAAGAGCATATAATTAAAAACAATAATAGTAAAAGTTATGATATAAAAGCTAAAGTCATCTGCAGTTAGCTTGAAGCCTTATGAAATATCATTCAAGGTAAATTATTTAAATTTTTTCCATTTCAATTGCATAAAAATGAAATTATGTGATATTTACTTTTTCATATTAATAGCACGAATTCATATTTTTATTTTCTCTAATTTTATATCTAATTTTTGGGAACTATAAAAACTACACTCACTGTTTTTGCTATTATTAGCACAATTAAATACGCAACATGTATTTGCGCACATTTTTGTTAAAATTTATGCGTAAAAATATTTTTGTCCAATATTCCAATTTTGTCATATTTCGCCACTACGCACGCTGGCATCGTTTCAATGTACCCCTACCATGGTCACGCACGGAGCGAATAGCCCAATATTTAGTTTTTGTTTCTATTTAGTTTAGTCAATTCAAGTTTAGTCAAGTTGTTTTTAGTTAGTTGTTCTTAGTTAATATTTGGTTTAGTTAGTTAGTTTAGTTAATTATTCTTTACAATGGCAGAATGGTACGTACTGTATCCGATAAAGTAGCAGCTGTGTTACTAATTGGTGAATGTGAAAATAATTTCCACGCAGCGGAACGTCTTTTTAATGAGAGGTACCCCGATCGCCCTATATCGAGATCTTATTGAGAAAGCTTCTTTGGAAGTTTAAACAAACAGGTAGTGTTCAAGATGTCAAACGATCTGGTCGACCAACAATTAGTGATGACAAAAAATTGACATACTATCAGAAATGGTAGTGAACCCTACTTCTTCTACAGCACAATTTGCATTTATCTATGAAATCAGTCAAGAGACAGTACACCGAGTGTTAGCTGAAAAGAAATTTCATCTATACAAATTAAAAATTGTGCACCAACTTTCAGATGATGACCCCAACCGAAGACTAGAATTCTGTGAAAATATGTCCAATAAAATTAACCAACAGCCCAATTACATAAAAACAATTTGTTTTAGTGACGAAAGTACTTTTTCTCTCAATGAAAATATTAACACACATAATGTGAGGTATTGGAGTGACATAAATGGAGCACATTTTGAGCACTTACTATAAGAACTAGTTGTTAAATAATTATCAATTAAATGAAAAACTACAATTTTAGTATTTATTTAATATACTTATCAAAGTGAGCTTAAACGCAAATAAAATTATTATGACCGAATAGGTATTTTCAATACCTTTCAAACGAAGTATCACTTGCCATAAGGTCCCATTTAAAATTATCTGTCACAGTGGCACTGTAAAGTCATCTGTCACTATTACGTCACCTGTTATGACTAGTTGAGAAGTCTACGTCTGTTTATTACCTTCCTCAAATTTCACTATTATAACAATAACCGTTCAAAAGATATGAGGGGGGGACGGACTTCTGACTAGCACTGTATAAAACGTATATGCAAGTTACAGTAAATGGTATTTTTAACTTGTCGTCAAAAGTGGAATTAAAAAATGAAATTTCCCAGGGATCTGTTATAAATCCTACACTATTTATATTCGCCATAAATGATGTTCTACAAAATTTAAAACTTCCACTTAAAGGCGGCTTATATGCTGACGATCTCGTAATATTTGGTCAAAGTAAAAACTTAAACAACCTCTCACAACTCGCACAGAGTTTCTTGTTAGATATTAAAAAATGGTCACAGGAAACTGGATTTAACTTTTTAACAACTAAAACTAAATATACAGTATTTTCTACAAACAAAGTCAGTACACCAATCTCATTATATCTATCTAGCTAATCACTACACCAAAAAGATTCACTAAAATTGCTAGGAGTTTCTTTTGACAGAAAGTTGAATTGGAAAGAACATATTAATAATCTAACATGTAAATGTTACAGAAGATTAAATTTACAAAAAATTCTAGCTCACAAGAATTGGGGTTCAGACAGGAGTACATTGTTAATTATATACAGAACTATTATACGATCACAGCTAGACTACGCTGCTATAGCTTACGACTCAGCATCGAAATCAGTACTTAAAAAGGTCGACACGAAAGTAAACAAAAAGTTAACTGTATGAAGCAAGAGCTTACCTTAGTCTAACGTATGCAACAAAAATTAAGAATACTGCAAAAAATCCTGTCTATAGAAATACCTTTACTGATAATTTCCCAAACCTCAATGCAAATCACCGTTCTGTTAAACCTTTCTATAAAAGAATAAAATACCATTTGCCTTTGTTTGATATTGTCATACCTGAATGTCTTTCATACAACATCAATCAGCCAATCGCGTCCACTGCTGCACATAGGCCTCCCTCAGTTCTTTCCAGTGTTCTCTACACTGGGCCGCTTGTAGCCAGTTTCCCGCTACTCGGCTTCTTTTATAGTTTCTGGGCCTGCATTCCATAATACGTCTTATCCACCGTCCATCTTGTGCTCTGGCTAAGTGCCCTGTCCAGTTCCACTTAAGCGACGTGGTTCTTTCGATGACGTCTTGAACTCCTGATCTTTGCCTAATTTGTTGATTTGTTATGTGGTCTCTAAGGCTCACGTTCAGCATTGCACGTGAGCCATTTTATCATACACATATGACCATAATCCACCTTGGATTCAAAACATACCATCACATAACTTTGAACTTACGTCATTTGACAAAAACTCCACTAATCATGATTTAATTACTTCCCATTTTAGAAAAATCCTTAGTCGTTATAAAAATTATACCCAGATCGTTCTACACTGATGGTTCAAAATCATCCGAAGATGTGGGAGCGTCTGTAGTAACCCCAGAGAAGGTCCTTAAATTCAAACTATCTAATGTTAGTAGTATCTATACAACTGAACTGTATGCTCTCTATCGCGCCATAGAACTAATCAATCTGACAACAAACTGCAAATATATTATCTTAACAGACTCAGTTAGTTCCATATAAAGCATCCGACCACTGTATTCAAAAAACTCACTTAAAAAAAATTAAAACGGTCCTTCTTCAGGCTTATATGAATCATAAGATAAATTTTATCTGGATTCCATCTCATATAGGAATAAAAGGTAACGAAACTGCTGACCATAGTGCGAAAGACGCGATAGTGACTGACATTTCCGAAATCGTTAACACAACGGTATCAACGGATATAAAAGCTTATATAAAAAATCTGTATGTAAAAATAAATGGAATGTGTCGAATTTAGAATTAAAATAAGTGAAACCCAGCATAGAGACATGGAATGTGTTACCTACGCCAAGAAGCCAAGAAATAATAGTAACGAGCCTCAGACTCAGGCATACTGGATTAACGCATGATTACTTAATTGAAAAGTGCGAACCGCCGCAAAGTGAAACGTGTAATACGACACTAACAATAATGCACACACTATGTGAATGTCCCCTTTACAATCAACAACGAAGTAACAAAAAGATACCAGAAACACTTCTAGAAGCTCTAGGTGTAGACTATAACTTGAAAAATACTCTGAATTTCTTTAAATAAATAACATAGTACCACAATATTTAATAAACCAAATTGTAGTGCAGTAATTGTACATAATGTAATCCATTAATTTTTCGCTAATGGCCATGTGGTCAATGCGATTTTCTAAATAAAAAAAATTAGGATGCCGGCAAATATTGACAACACTCTGTATAATGAAAAAGGCAACTTTACACTGCAAACGATAAAGCTGTATGTGGTTAATGAGTTCCTGAGGAATTTAAACTTTTATTCATATGCCATTAGAAGATATTGAACTTTATATAGATGGAAAAAAGTGTAATTTTCATATAAAAACATTATAACTAATGTAAAATTGTAAAAACAGTTCACAATAGGTATAGAGAAGTATTAATAAAAATGTTCAGAATAACGTGAATATTTCTAAAATTGAAAAATATACAAGATGCCCTATTAAAAAATGAATTTATAAGCAACTACCGGTATTCCGGTATAGCAAATAGATAAAAATATTTTCATTAAACAGTCCACTCTTCAAAACCATTTCATTCCAATTTACCATTTAGTTCTCGAGATATTTCTAATTGACTGTTTTACTGCTAAACTGCTTTACACAAATCTAATTTAACCAAACAAGTACCGACAATGTAAATATGTACTTACCTAAACATATGTATACAAACATCATGCAGAGGCACAAAAGTATGGGTGCTAAAATCGACCATCCATGCATGGATGATTTCGACTCGTTGTCGGTTCCGCTCAGACTATCCAGTTCTTTGACTGGACCATCTCGACAAGGGGAGTGGAGATTGTTACTATAATTGGAATTTGATCGAACATAAAACGGTTCTTGAAGTCCTGAAAATGATTTAAAACATTTTAATTTGACTATCTGATGTTTTTATTTAAAAACAATTGATAAATAATTAATATACGGTACAATACATATCAGTGGTATAGAAGCAAAACTAGAAATCTCCATATTTTCCCCAAATTAAGTTATTCTATCTATCTATAGCCCAAAATATATTTATGTGTTGAATATAAGCCTCTCCCATTTGTGTCCATTTGTCTCTGTGCTTCGTGTTGTCTTTTCCACATTGGACCTGCGCTTTGCTCAATGTCATCTTTCCATCTCATTTGCGGTCGACCTCTTGACCTTGTTGCAGTATATGGTCTCCAGCGGCCAATTTCTTTATTCCATCTGCCATCCTGATATCTTTCGTTATGCCCAGCCCATTTCCATTTTAATTTCAATGCATGTTCGACAGCGTCTGTTGTTTCGTTTTTGCATCTTATCCACTCGTTCCTCTTTTTATCTCTCAACGATATTCCTAACATTTGTATTTCCATAGCTCTTTGATTTTTTTTATTCAATCTAAGTTGCTTTTGGTACACGTCCACGTCTGGACACCATATGTCAGAACAGGTAGGACGCATGCATTAAATAGCTTCGTTCTTAATTTTAAAGGTATTTTTTGGTTTTTGATCGTATATGAGAGTTTTCCGAATGCAGTCCACCCCATTCTTATTCTTCTGGTTATGTCTTTAGTCTGGTTATTTTGTCTGCTGTGATAGCTTGTCCTAAGTAAATATATTCCTGAACGTGTTCTATGTTTGTTCCACCTATGTTAATTACTGATCTCTCTTCTGTATTAGTCATTATTTTAGTTTTCTTCAGATTCATTTTTACTCCTTTCTCAAGAGATGTTTTTTCTAGGTCTGAAATCATTATTCGTAGTTCTTCCATAGTTGTTGCTATCAGGAGTACATCATCGGCGAGTCTTAGATGATTTAAATATTTTCCGTTTATACAAATCCCTTTATTGTCCCAGTCTATAGATTTAAAAATGTCTTCCAACGCCAAAGTAAATAGTTTGGGTGAGATTGTATCCCATTGTCTGACACCTCTACAAATTCTAATTAATGGAGTTTGCAAATCTCTGCCTACCTGAATTCTCATAGTGGCGTTTTGATATATCTTGTGGATTAATATTCTGTACCGTGAATGTATTCGGCAATTAACTAGCGTTTCTTCCACTGCCCATAGTTCTATGCTGTCAAATGCTTTTTCATAGTTAACAAACGCTAGGTATATTGGAAAATTGTATTCGTTGGTCTTTTCCATCAATATTTTAAGCGTGTGAAGGTGGTCGGTTATGCTACCCCTTTCTAAATCCTGCCTGCTCAACTGGTTGGTATGTATCAAATTTGTTGTTTAGTCTAGTTGTGATCACCTTAGTGAAAGTTTTATAGATTTGTGACAAGAGAGATATTGGTCTATAGTTAGCTAATTTTGATCTATTTCCTTTCTTATATATCAGAATTGTATTTGCCTTGTTCCACTCTTGCGGTATTTGTCCTTCAAACAAACATTTATTGAAAAGTAACTTTAGGTAGTCTTTTATCTTTTCCCCCCTTCTCTTTTAACATTTCAATTAGAATTTCATCGTCTCCCGGAGCCTTATTTCTTTTCATATCTCTAATTGCTTTTTCTATTTCTTCTTCGGTTATGGGGGTAATATTTCAGAGTTTACATTCATTATTTTCTTTTTCAGGTTTTGTTGAGTTGTATCAGGTGGACTGTTGTTAGAGCAGCTGTAGAGGTCACTATAATATTCCCTTGTTATCTTAGATATTTTAGTTCTGCTTTTTCTGTTACACCTTGTTTATTTTCCATGTCTATGATTTTATTTCTTTTTAGGTGGGACTTGATAGATCTTAAGTTTCTGTTTTCTTCTATAATCTTCGCGATTCGTTCTTCTTGATGCCGTTTGAGATCTTGTTTTATATATCTTCTTATTTCTGTACTAAGGGTTTTGTATTTAGTTGTTTTTCTTTTATTTTCTTGTAGTAGGCTTCTCTGTTGTTGTAGCATGTCTTATATGGCACTTAGTTTTGATTTTTTGTCTGATTTTACTGGTGCTACTTCTAAGCTAGTCTTTAGAAGTTCTTCAGTGATGGCTTGTTTAGTTGATCTAGATTTAGGTCTGTTAGCTTTAGTTCTTCAGTTGTTCTTAATTTGTTTTAATATTGTTCTTTATTCTCCTTTAATTTTTCTGGGTGAACTTTTTCTTAGAGCGTACATATTGTCTTCGATCTTTTTTGTGTTTAATACTTATTTTAGCCGGTATCATTCTGTGATCACTACCAGTAGAGATTTTTTTTTTGTTAATGCTTCGACAACTATGATCATTGGCATGGTACAGTCAGGTACCTAGTGTAGTGTGTGTGTATGTGTAGAGTAATTGTCTTGATACTTAGCAAAGTCGACGTCATTGTCTTTGCTAAGAGACGCTAATTGTATCCGAACGTCCTGCGGTCCCTCCGGTGAGTACCGATCGCACATGGATAGAAATTATTTTCATTCATTAATTTTTTAATAAACGAAAATTTCTCTACCCAGATGGGATTCGAACTCACGACCTTTAGGTTTAAAGGGAGGCGCTCTTACCACTAAGCCACAGAGGGGGTTCCTAAGTAGAGATTGAATTTGTTAGTATGCAGTCAATTTCATTTTTACTGTTCCCATCTGGCGACATCACGTCCATTTTCTATGTGGCTTTTTCTTGACGGAATATTTCATGGCAAATAATTTGTTGTTTTCTAGATAGTTAACCAATAGATCTCCTCTTTCATTTCTTACTCCATGTCCAAATTCTCCAATACATTTTTCGTTTTCTTCTAATTTTTTTGCCCATTTTCGCATTAAAATCGCCCATTATAATCGTGTAGGTAGTGTTTCGATACGTCATGGACTCTGTGAGGTGTTCATAAAATTCTTCCATTTCTTCGTCTGTGTGTAGATGTTGGCGTATAAATCTGAAATATTTTTAAAGTGACCTTTTCGCTGATAGTTATGATTAATAAAGCGATTCTTTCTGTTAATCCTACGTATTCCTCAATTTTATAGAGCGTATTTTTTCGAAATCAAAAAACTAACTCATCTAAACTTTCGTTTTCTCTACCATTAAAATACAATATGTTTCCAGACTCTAGCGAGACGCAGTTTTCACCTTTTCTTTTTACCTCCGATAGTCCGATTATGTCCCGTTGCAGGTGTTTAACTTCTTCCTCTAATTCATAGAGTTTCTCGTCTTTAGACAAAGATCTTACATTGAAAGTTAAGATATACATTTTTGTTGTCTGTATTGACGAACTATTGTCTCCCCAGATCCGATGAGACTGACCTTATTAGATAAGGTCTAGGATTTGTCACAATGTGAAGCACCTACCTGGGGACCAGTTCCGTTCGAGTTTGTATTCGCCATTTGAGAAGGTAGGTGTTTGACCATAAAACACCACGCTGGTCAGACGGTTGGTGAGTGTATATTCAGCCGCCACTCTGAGTCAGACACTGTTCGTAGCCGTCCACTCTGGACTTAGTCCATATTGAGTTATTGCTGCCATCTATATCTTTGTGTTCATCTCTACAACTTCACAAAATATTGTGTAGCAAAACCCTCAATATCTTGTGCATATATAACGTCAAAAAATAGGGTTAGTAGCAAAAACAGCAATCTTCATCGGTCCGCGAATGGCAACACAGGCAATCTCTTTTAGTATTGTAAGGCTGGAAAAGATATCAGGATGATTAATCCTGATATTATTGAGTTGGAGGTTATTAAAATTAACCCCTTAAAACTTCGTGACGTTAATAAACTCCTAACAAAACATTTTGAATTACATTATTGATTCTGAAGAAACTGAAGGAGATATTGAACATATTGAAGAAGAAGCTGATGCTTGTGATGGATTTGGTTGTATAAAACTTTTTTGTTTCATAAATATTTTTTTTAGGATTTTTCAATAAAAATTTAGTGTTAAAGCAAAACCAGAAATTTACAACTTTAAATTGGTAATTATTTAAAATTTAATAAAGTAATTACGTTAATTTTGTAATTAACTAAAGCCAATGTGCAGATAAATATAAATAACAAAAAAGTAAAGTAAAGTAAAGATAAAGGAAAAGAAAAATCAACGAGAGAACACAATAATAATAAGAAAACAATATAAATCTAGTAAATTATTGTGTAAAAAAGTGTATTGTAAATATTTTGCATTATGAAATGTAGTTAAACTAATCCTACTCCTAACAGAACTTTGGGCGTATTGCTTAAATAAGTAAATAAATGTCCTTGATCTTATGTGTAACTTTGTGTTTGTATGTTTATTCTCCTTGTTTTGTCTCCTTGACTGACCTGTTCAGTTGTCTATATATTTCAGTTTTTCACCGTTCTGTAGGTAATTAGACAAAAATAATCACAATAGATTTCAATCTGTACTGATTTGTTTACTTGGAGATTTAACCTTTCTGTATTAAACTTTACAAATAAAAGGCACAGTTATTTTATTTATTCTTGCTATATTGAGGTGGTTTATGTCATCTTCTACTGTTTTGTAATTGACACGAAGTAATCGTACTTACCCAACTGTTGCTGTAACTCCATCTGCTGTCTCTTCTTTTTCATTCGCCTTTCCTTTTCGGCCATTCGCTTCTCATCGTAACAACAATAGCCGCAATTAGAACAAAGGCAACAGCATAATGCTCTGGAAAATACGCCTCGAGCTACCCTGCTTAAAATAGAACCAACGCTGGAGAGATAGAGCAGCGTTAGAGGAATGCCCAGCATTGCGTAGCCCATAGTGACTGCTTTTCCTAAAGATGTTCTTGGAGCTATGCTTCCATAACCTGAAATGAAGAAAATAAGTTAAAATTTGTTTTTATTTTACAATATAATCATAGAGAATGGACCTGGCTTTTTTATCTACTTTATATGTGTGATATAGCCAATTTATAAAATAAAATTATAATAAATTATTCAACGATACAGCTGCTAAACAATAATAATTTATTGAGTAGAGAATGAATCATTCTCTCTCCTGTTACCGCCAAAGAATGTAGCGTAGAACTTTGTTATTAATTTTAAACTGTTTGTCCTTTGTTCTAGTATTAATTACTATTTAACTGGGAATAAGCCACAATTAAAGATAAAAATACGTTTATTGACGTTTCAATTTCCACTTCGAAATCGTTCTCAAAATACAAACAGTAAATTTACATTTAACATTTACTGTTTGTATTTTGAGAACGATTTCCGAAGTGGAAATTGAAACGTCAATAAACGTATTTTTATCTTTAATTGTAGCTTATTCCCAGTTAAATAGTAATTAATTTAAAATGACACAAGAAAATAGCTTCAGAACAATACTTTGTTCTAGTGTAGTGTTTATACAATTTTATGTTACCATCTATGTTTATTACATTCTACGCTTGCTGGATAGCCCATATTGACGAAATGCCCCTGAAGATGCTTTATTAAGCGAAAGTACTTGGGCAAGATTTGATTAAACTTGTGCTCGATATAATTGCCTTAATTTTCAAAGTTTATTCTTTTATTAACCGTACGCCAATAAACTTCTGCTTGTGCTGTATAGTATTCTTACATTCTAAAATATTTTGAAAGAAACTCTTTTTTGTTTCATTTATTAATTTGACTTATTGCTTTTTGTTTTCTTTATATTTTAAATCTATACAAACGACTTCTCAAATAATTTCCCTCGTGTATTGCATTGTTTGTTACCCAAGTATTTTTAGACTTATTGCAAATTTTTTTTGTAGTCATTGGACAAGAGATGTCAATATGGGACGTAAGTACCTTCAAAACTGGTGGATAAGCTAAAGGAAACTTAAAGTTAAGCTTGAATTAATTCGTTAAATCTTGAAGTCTAGAGAGCTGATCCCGAAAATACACCACGCATAGAAGGACACGTATGACATTTTTCTTTATGAAGTAGGTGGCTCAATGGTCTAGAGCTATAAGGATACGATTATCAGTTCATGTGCGAGTGTAGTATCATTTTGTAATGATCAGTAGACGTATTCTAAAAACATTAAGATAAATGCAGTGAATTAAAAATATTCTATTATAATAAATAATTGTTTTCAATCAGAAATCTAGGGCACACATATTGTATAACAGTGCCTGTCTAACTTTAAAAACATTTTTGTTACACCGTAAGCTCAATCTTAAAGATTAATCATTTTTTAAATAACACCATTGGCCTGAATCGAACCAATTCGTCATAGGCAAATATGTTATAAATATAGTAAAGCGTCGATTAACCGAACTAATTGGGGGGCATGTATTGGGAAAAATCGGTTTTTTCAGATAATTGAACTGTATTGATAGAGCCAGACATATTTATCCCCAGGTAAATGAAACAATAAATCCCCATGAAGAACAATAAATCCCCAGGTGAAGACAGGTTAATGACCGAAAGCCTAAAACTAGGAGGAAATAAGCTCTTACTGACACTTGCTAAACTGTTCAATAAATGTCTGTGCGAAGCGATAACACCGACGCAGTGGAACAACGCGGAAATCATTTTACTTCATAATCAGCGACCTTAGAAACTACCGCCCATTAGCTTGTTGTCACAAGTATATAAGCTATTTACAAGAGTTTATTACCAACAGGCTAGGAAGTAAGTTGGATTTCTATCAGCCAAGAGAGCAAGCAGGTTTTAGAGCAGGATATGGCACGAATGATCATTTAGAAGTAAATAAGAACTTCATAGAAAAGAGTGTTGAATATAACAAGCCATTAGTCATAATACTTGTTGACTACGAAAAAGCTTTCGACACAATAAGTTATCAAAAGATGTTAAAAGCCTTAACAAGTGCCCTCGGCTGTATGCAAACTGCCACAGCCATTATAAAACAAAAAAAAACAGAGTGCCGTATAGATCATCGCTATATAAACATGATATAATACATCCATCAAAATGGACAGCAAGCGTGAAACTGGTAGATAAAAAGACCAACGTATTAAAAATAAAACGGGAGTGCGACAGGGAGACACAATTTCGCCAAAAATTGTTTACAACATTATTAAAGCATATGTTTAAGAACGTAAATCTTAGTGAAAAAGGAATTAATGTCAATGGAGAAATGCTTAGTCATTTGAGGTTTGCTGACGATATTGATCCTTTTTGCTGACAGAATCGATGATGCAGTATCGCAACTGGAGAAAACTATACCTAGCCTTCCTACAAGTTGGATTAAAAATTAACCACACAAAAACACAAATCATGACAAATCTTGTGTTAAGCGAAAAGATTTCAGTAAATGGCATGCATATTGAAGAAACACTCTATAAAGTACTTAGGACATGAGATACGCATAGGAAGAGATAATCAAACGTGTGAACTTGTAACGATGAGTCCAAGCCATCACCGTTAAACCAGCGTGCACGCGAACCAACCCATGTAGTAGGAGTGTATCGACAGTAGAAAGGGCAAAACTAATTACCAAGCTCCGCTATATAAACCGCAACATTTCCTCATAGGGAGAGAATCGACAGGTGTTGACTGAAGGTTCTCTTCTTCCCTACCCGGCTTGTGGACGTGTTGAGTTCACAAGTTGTTCCGTTCCATACCGCCGTTACCCGAAGAGCGTGTTGAGCTCTTCATTACCCGTACTCTGAAGCAGTCGTGTTGAGACTGTCGAGGAGTGTCCTATTAACCCGAATCACTTAAGGAACGTGTTGAGTTCCTTTCCTTTCTTTGTACCTATCGTCCGCTGTTATTAAATCGATACGACGTTCACGTAAAATTTCAAATACACACTCGCTTGCCGATAAGACTAATTTCATATGACAAGGTCAAACTTAATTTGAATAAATAGGCCAGGAAACCAAATTGTAAATATGTACATAAGATTTTTGTCAATTTAATTTAAGGAAGACAATAAAGTTTTATTTTTATTTTGAACTCTGTCTCTGACTGTCCAAAAGCTACCCGGATAGTGACTCCTACGAGAGGACAATCACAAACTAAGCCGCCGCATAGGACTCACTTGGGTGGCATTCGGCAAGCTAAGCTATGTTCTTAAATCAGAACTGCCTATGTGTCTTAAAAGAAAAGTCTTTAATCAGTGCGTGTTGCCAGTACTTACATATGGTGCAGAGACATTAACACTAACCAAGAAAGTAAGAAATAAAATTTGTGTTACCCAAAGAGCCATGGAACGATCGATGTTAGGCATTTCTCGTAGGATCGGATCACGAACAAGGAAATAGGACGGAGAACAGGAGTGACAGATGCCATAGAAAGAATGATGACCCTTAAGTGGAACTGGCGGGGCACATAGCTAGAATGTCGGATAACAGATGGACACAGCGAATAATACAGTGGAGACCGAGACAAGAAGCACATCGAAGTAGAGGTCGTCCACCAACAAGATGGTCTGATGACATAAAACGGATCGACAAAAATTGGATGCAAACAGCACAAAACAGAAATACATGGAAAAGACTGAGGGAGACCTATATCCAGCAGTGGATAGATCCGGGTTAAATGATGATGATGAAATGAAAGTCATATATGTTTAGTGACAAATATGAATTAAACAAAAAAGTGCAGTATTTGCAACAAAACATATTCTAGGTACAATATTGATGAAAATTGAAGATTTTTTAAGCATTAACTACTAACGTTTATTAAAATCTTCAGTTTTCACGTAGTTTTTTAAGGACAGGTCTTTTTCATTCCAAGATCGAGGAGTCAAGACGTTATCAAGAAGCAATATTGTTTTTTCTCTTTTGCAATTTTTTAATTGATCTACTTTAACAGGACATATTAAAGTTTCTATGAACGATAGGCATCGTAAATAAATTAATGTGTTAAAGACATCGTGGTTTCTTGCTTTTACCAATGACAATCATGTGAAGTCAGTGGCTGCCAGTCGCATTAGCACAAACTAAGGCAGTAGAACACTGGAACACTAGAAGAACTGCAACAACTTGCTTAACAACTAAATATATATTGCAACGATTATGGACTAACAATAACTTACCAATACGTAATAAAATTAAATGGTTTAAACGTCAGTTCAATTAACTATTTAACGCGTAATCAACAAAAATATAATTTGAGGTATACAAGGCTAAATAGAACTAAACTAAAAATTGCAGAAAAGCTTGCATATTCTTCACATTTTTTTCAACCGAATGCTTCAGATAACATCAGATATTTTTCTTCACATTATATTAGTAGCATTTCCAATAAAATATCTAAACTTTTTACTTCTACAATTGATAACATCAAAATTTCCTTCTTAATCAATACCAAAGATAGATGAATACACTTGATAAAAGTGGTATTTACAAATTAAAATGTGATGATTGTGATGCTTCTTATGTAGGTAGAACCATCAGAAAGTTATCCACTAGAGTCTCTGAACATTTGAAAAGACCAAATTCTTCAAGTTTGGTCAACACTTAGTATCCAGCAACCACAATTTTAACATCAATTCTGGTTCATCTATCTTACATGACATTAGCAGAAAGAAAACTATCTTGAGTTGGATTTATTGGAAGATTTGGAGATTACAAGGGAAACAAATGAAAACTCTCACTGTCTTAATACTCAAATTAATTTAAATTGTACTAAATTAATCCTATATTTAAAAACTTTATTACAGCTTCACCTCGTAGAGGACCCAGCTCGACTGTTTAGCTTCATGCACTGAGCATTTCAATATTAATTTTAAAGTTCTTCCATTGACTGTGGATTCAACTGAACTACGGTGACTATAACCCATTTTATATTTTGTCTTCAATTTTGATTTTAACTTTAGTAATTTAACTGCATATTCAGATTTTCTTTTTACAGTACCGATAGCGCTTG